TATCAGAGTGGTAACCAAAGTGTACATGTACCATTTGTGACCATAATTGACAAAAGGTACCTTATGGCGGGTAGTGAAATTTGTCTTTATGGCCAAGAAAATCCAACTTCCTGAGCTCCATTTATCATAAAATTACTCCACATGATGGAAAAAGTTACCATGTAACTTTTAGAAACAATGGTTGTCCAACAGAGCACTCACAGGTTGATATTTTTCATTATAATGATGGATTTCAAAATCCGCCATAAGGTACCTTTTGTCAATTATGGTCACATTTGATTCCTCAGTGAGACCTCCGTACATTGAAAATGATAAACTGGGAGCAATGATGAGCTCCCATTATGTCTTAAGGAAAAATTGCTTAGAGGTACAGTACAGACATATGTTGAGGTTTTTAGAAAAGCGCAATACTTAAATTAGTGCAATAACATCATTTCAATGTGATAGCGGTAAGCCATGGTTTTTTTTGATAGGATCGGTTGCTGGGTTAATACTGTTGTCATTAGGGGATTAGGTCTGTTTGATAAATTCCTTGAACCTCAGCAACAAAATTTATTTACCTTTCCTGTACAGTACCGACAAGTTTCTTTAAAGTTGTGTGTAAAATCTTCCCTCCTGTCTTCTCATTATGCTGCCTCAACTGCTAATTTTACACAATCCCTTTTTCTACTGGTAGATGCCCATTAACTGCATATTTGTGTCCTACCTCTTGAAAGTTTACGCTAATGGAATTTTTAGATGAAGGATTGAGGGTTACTCTTGAGATAAAGTTCCACTGCAGTTTTGGTGTTACTACACCTGCTTTTGATTCTCAACTATCCCCTCCTAATTTTTAGCTATTGTTTGTCCGTAAAGTTTTACGGCATTGGGAACAGTTTCATAGTTATTATTTAATTTATTAACTAACTTCAGAAGCTATTTTGTCTGTCGTTGGTGAGCTGTGAGTACATTTTTATTACTTCGCTTCTGACTGTGTGATATTGGTACATTTACTTCCTTTGTAGTGGCTGCAACGTGATACCACCACAGTTATGGCTGATGAGTGGTTCAGTGACAATTGCATGTAGTTCATTGTCATTGTGTTAATAGTACAGGTAGCTTTTCTACTTGCAATCATACTAAAGACTAAAGTCATGCAGTGAATTTGTCCTCACACATGTGAAGCATAAGAACTTCTAATTTTAATGATTTCCAAAATGATAAGCCGTTTTTATTTTTTTGACAAATATTATTTAAATTAGTAAATTAGCCTTCAGCTGTGCAAGTTAGAAGGCAAATAGTTATTTTTAGAACACAAGACAACTATGAAAATGGAAAAATTTATATTTGATACAACTTTGTAGATATTGTGATTATTTATGAATGTTTATGCAAGTTTTATCTGGTTTAATCAAGCTCTGTTGCCACCTTCAATTAAATATGACTCCATTGAATTAGTTCAGGCCCAATCACCTGTCACTGCATGGTCAAAGTACTGTGTAATCTCACCTTGAATGTATTTAAATACATAATTATTAAATAAATGACTTGTTTTAAAAATACTGCTATACCAATAGTGAGATTGATAAATTTAAGTTCCTTTAAAATCTAAAATATTGTCTCCTGTCTCCTCATAATGCTGCCTCAACTACTTCCAATCCCTTTTTCTACTTGAAGATGCCCATTAACTGCCTATTTTTGCCCCTTCAAAGTTTACACTAATGATGAAAGATTGAGGGCAGGGTACTCTTGAGATGGAGTTCCACTGCAATTTTGGTGATACTAACTTTTATCTCCTATTTTTTGTTTGTCTATTAAGTTTTACAGCAGTTTTATAGTTATGTTTACCAAGGTTACTTCTGTTTATAAGAATTTTATTTGAAGAGAGTTGATCTTCAGCTTCTTTACAAGCAACATCTGCAAAGGCACATTGCAATGATACACATCAATTCATGTATAGCAGTTCCTTTTTGTATACATGTATGTTTCTAGCATGTCGTGACAGATTTGGTTCGAGAAGAGTAGCTTGACCTTCAATTACATACGTGTCATAAAGTCTTTGGAGTAATTTGTATTGAACGCAATGCATTATATCACACCTTAAAGAATTAATGCTCTGTGTTGTCTTCCTCTTACTTTTGATCTTGAAATAAATTATGACTTGAGCACAATACTTTTTACCTTTTTAATGATGAAAGCATTTCTAGTTTGCCACTGCATTGAACATAATTGGAGTTAAACTTTAAAGGAACTTATAAAAAGTTAACTTACCAACTCAAAGTGCTAGGCTTTTATTATTAAAAAAAATATGCTATCAAAATGATTTATATTACCCGTGATTTGTTGGCATCTTAATGCTTGATAAATCTGTAGTTGCAGCTATATGTTTGTGTCAATTAACTTTTTGTTCTTCTGTTAAAACTTTCATTTGTACCAATTGTTCTTGAAGGAAACTTTCATTTCATCTCTTGCATCCAGCAGTAATATCCTCTTGATATGCTTTTACATGCTCTCCCAACTGGAGGGTACAATTCTCTTTTCAAGCACGAATAAAAAAAAATTGATACTATGGTTTAATATTTGCTATGCTGGCACTTAATGAAAATTAAGAAAGACATTCATAAATATGAAGTCTCATTAGTCTTACCAATAGCCTAGCTGCAATACATAATTATGATAATACATAAAGAGTAAACTTTCATTTCATAAGCATACAGATGATCAATATGCTTTGGAATAATGTCACTGCAAGTATCGTTGAAGAATGCCAATTCCTCCATTAAAATTCAAGTTTTTGTAATGAAATTCATATTTACTACATCAGTGTTATTTTACTGTAAGTCACAAATGGTATACACCACACCTGCCCTGCACTCACTCGGAATCCTATTCTTGACCTCAGGGCAGGTGTGGTGTATGAAGTACCGTGCTCTGATTGTGACAAAGTTTTTGCGGGAGAGACAGGCAGGACAATGAAGAAAAGGGTTTTGGAGCATTAGCAAGCAGTTAAGGTTTGATGACAAGAATGGCATTGCTGTATATGTACACACTGAAGACCATAACATTGACTGCAATGTATTGGATCATGAGAATTTTTACTGGAGGAGAAGAGTTATGGAGGCTGTGAGAATCAAAACCAGAAACACCATGAATCTGGACTGAGGTCTCCAGTTAAGTGACCTATGGCTACCCTGCCTTTCCAAACCAGACTAATTAATTAATTTATTATTAATTATTACAATTACAGTTAGTGACACGTGTGTCAATGTGTTTCTGGTATCTCTCTGTGTAGACTGAAGAAGGCTCTCGAGCTGTTATATCTTTATTATAATAAAATTGTTGCTGTTGAAGCTCATTTATGAATATAGTAACATGGGTGCAGCAAAAAGCCTGTTCTTTATCACTTAACCCCATCTTGCAATTAAATTTTCCTGATAAAAGATGACGTATATTTCTAAGGCAGTGAAAGTGAAACTATTTTTTCTGAAATTCACTGCTGTAACATTAAGTTTTTAGAGGGACAGTTTAGTTATTCCAATGATATGTAATGTGATTCACTAAGTTCACATGCATCTCGTGATGTAACAACAATTGGCTGTGTGATTCTACTTGTTCGTATAATTAGTCCCATCAGAATTTGATGTGCCTTTTAATTTGACACGATTTTCGTTTTGCTTGTCTTCTTGTAACTAATTTTTGAGCCTGTTCAACAGATTTTTTCATTATCAAAATTAATAATGCTAAAAGAAACATTGTTCTGTTCCACTGGCAATGATCCAATCATAAAGTGATAATGACATTCAACACTTGCATGAATTACTGTTCTATAACTGTGATCAAGTCTATCCTAGGGAGTTGTGTATAATGGTTATTCTAACCTTGAATAATAGTTAAGATTATTCAATTATGCATTGCAAGGTTTTGAATAATGTTGGACCCGTATGGCTTTTTCAATTTTAGTTCTAGTTTAGTTCTATCATAGGTGCAAAACTGCAAATAGTTCTAGTTATAGTTCCTTCTTTAGGCTGTTACAAGAATAGTTCTAGTTCTTGTTAGTGTAAAATTTATTGGGTTAGTTCTAGTTATAGTTCCTACATATAGCTTTTAGTATAGTTAGTCCTAGTTCTAGTTCCTTGAAATTTTTACTGTTAGATAGTTCTAGTTTGGTATTAAGCTCTTAATTATAGTTCTAGTCACATGTATGTGCTCTAAACTGCATTGTGAATAATAACTGCATTGTGAAAGTATAATGAGTTTTCCATCATAATTAATGCACAATAAATATATTTTCCAAGTTCACTGTACAGTTTATTTAATGTCTCTCTCTCTAAAGTATCGTTAGTCAGCCTAAATGCTTTTGTCTGTATCTTCATTGTATATAAAGTAATCCCAGACAGTGCTTTGAATTTGGCTTCGAACTTTACACAGACTCTTCCACAACCTCATCTTCCTCAAGTTGAAATAGTTCAGTTACATCTGGTGTGGGTCCTGGTTCAGCTATTTCTTTTCCTTATCCACCTGTAAATTATACTTGTACTTGTAGCAGCTGAGTCATTTACATGCTATGCATGA